ACTGCTCCAATTTCGATTTCCAAAGTTTTGGGATCGTTTCTAAACCTGTCGAATAGTTTATCCAATTCTTGAAGACTGATTTCTCCACCAAGGATTCTTTCCCACGTGCTTCGCCATCTCCGATAAGCAGGTGTCCACAAAAGCTCTTGCACTATGTCGACCGTTAATGTCCCACTTGATCCAGCTTCATCTTCGAAAAACTCGACTGCTTTCGGAATGCATTGTTGCCACATGTCACGAAAAAGACGACTCGGATGGACGAGGTGAAGCAATTTCATCATTCTCGCGTTCTTCGTTGAAAGATCAAAGAACCTTACTATCGGCTCTTCACTGGGACCGCGTTTATGGCAAATGTCACGCAGTTGGCAAGAAGCTAGGTCTTTTTCCAGCTTTTCTTTGATTCCTTGCAAATCAACATCTACAAAAAATAAATTGCAAGTAGTCGCAAGTAGCCGCAACTTGAACGTGCGTAGAGACTTGCGTTCCTCGGCCAAACGGACTCGCAAGGTTCCTCGCAAGTACACGCAAGTCGCCAAAAAACCCATTTCAAGTCAGGCATATCCTGCATTTCATTGGCTAATAGGTTGCGATAACAACGAATGGACGTAACTCGACATGTGTTGACTTGGTTTGGGTTGCTAAATTGTCTTGCGTGCAAATTTGATCTCGACCAAAGTGAGCACAAGTCATCGTAAGTCGACGCAAGTGCACACAGGGCCTGGCAAAACGTGGTCACAAGTAGACCCAAGTTTTCAAATTGCGAGTCCGTTTGGCCAGGGCTAAGGTTTTAAGTGGCTGCACTCTGCGCTGCGCTGTTTCCAAATTTTATGAGAACGTGGGTGCGTACAGCTTACCGGCAATAAAAATGACGCGAAATGTACGCGTAATGTACACTTCGATTTACAAAGTTTTTGACTCGTTTTAGGGTAGGAGAGATAGGGCTAAATGACTTTATAACATAACTGACGTAATACGCGCGTTCTGATTGGTCAAAAGCCTATCGTTTTTTGTCCCGGTAAACACATGGTTTCTAGTAGGCAGCACTACGTGGGGCCGGAATTGGAGAGCTCAGAACACTAGCGAGAAAATAAGCTTTATACATATCTTAGGCTTTCAATGGCTCAGTGAGATATTAATTACAGGAATATCTTTACATATATTACATAGAAATTTGTACGGAAAAATTGGCCGAGACATAATTATTGCCGGATCTTCTTAATTTCCATGGCAAAAATTTTACACCGGCTTCGTTTACCCTTGAGTTTAGAAGAAAGTTTAAAGTGCGTTCAGTGCTTTCCAAGGTTGTGGAGGACGCAATTCTGACTACTGCTCGGCTTGAATGATCAATTCGGCAGTTAAAAGATTTCTATGGAGTTAACAATAAGCTTATCGTAGTTTTAAGTTTAAATTCAATGCCTGCATGCAAGCATAACACGATAAATGAATATAGTTCCCATTAAGCTTTCAAGCAATAGTTTTCATTCAATAAAATAAAGAGAAACACCAAGCTCATAGCCTTCAACATAAGTAAAAAAATTCTGAATAAATTTAAGAAGCAGCATTTTTAAGTAAATAAATTCTGAATAAATTTAAGAAGCAGCATTTTTCGAACTAACCTTTATTCATTCGCAGAAATTTTGAAAGTTGAAGTTTGCACTACTTGCAAACTTTTCGCATAGTCTTTTACTTTCGTGATGACTGTCGATGACTAGAACCGACCACAAACCCCCGCATTTTCCTGTTAAAGTTCGCCTTTCAGCGATAACCCTTTTCTTCCCTAGAATATTTTTAGCGCGAAATGTTTTCGTCGATTTGCTCTGCGGATTTTGTTTTTCGGCGCTGAGTCTGTGCTTTCATTCTTTTAGTTTCTGTGATTGGTTTTCCTGCATCATCTCAAGATTTTGTTGAGAACAAGCAACTTCATCTCGAAAGTACAAACATTTTCCATAGTTATTTCATAAAAGCAATATATAAACCACCCTTTGTATGGGTTTACCGGTGCAATAAACCACTTGGGATGCTGGGAGAAAGCTGGTAAATCACTCGCCTAACGGTTCGTGATTTACAAGCTTTACTCGTGTTCTCCCAATATTCTAAGTGGTTTATTGCGCGGGTAAACCCATAGAAAAAGTGGTTCATTGCTTAAATATCCTTCGAATTTTGGCGAACTCCTAGCTTGAGATGAAACATGGTAAAACTTAAGTTAATTTATTAACTTTCTTTAAAATATCCCTTTCAGCGCAGTTAATTTAACTTCGACAATGTAATAATGTACCATGACTCACCTGTCTTGATACCAGAACACATTGTAATAAACGTCGACACTGCTTCTCTTTCCTTCTCAAAGGCTTCAATCTCCTCGATGCGCATGTCAAGAAATATCTCCATAGAACGTGCTTCTTGTTGGTTCCCCTTATCTTCACTGATATCTCTAGTGACAGCCGAGTCCTCTTTGGATAGCAAGGAATGCAATTCCAAGAACCTATCACGGTCCTTGTGGACAGTTCGTAATGTATTCACCCGAATTTCTCCATTCCTCAGGCAGAGTCCTACATGCGCAACAAGTGAGGTCGCAGAAACAAGTATCTCCCACCCGTCATCGGACAACTTTTCTTTTAACTGACTTCCACAACCTAAACAGGGAATGTTGCGTCAGAGAAGTTATAGTTAACCACCATTTTGTTAACACTGACTGAGAAGTACCATGTTATCGACTTACAGTTTATCAGCTTGAGCAAATACTGATTTGAAGACATGACTGACCATCGCGGTTATACACACAACTTCAGTTGTGTGTATAACTCCGATGACCAGTCGTGTCTTCAGATCTTTCTCCGCATGCGCAGTTCAAATATATGATCTTTCATACATTCGCTTAAATACTGATTTGTTGCACGAATAGAATGGACATTCTATTTAACCAGTAAAGTGACTGGTCAACCTGAAAACGAGGGTTGCGCGAATACTCTGTCGTTACTGGTCACTGATCAAACCAAACGTTGAAATTTATAGATTTTTCTCTGCTGGCACAGATGCCATCGTTACTGAAGGTAAAGACAAAGATGATTAGGAAAAAGATCGTGAAATTATCTTGAGAAGATGTCGTTGAAATTAATTTTGCCCGATCCTTATTGAATGGTAAAAAATGTCTAGGATCTATTAACAGTAAGAGGTCAAATTTTGAACAAATTAAGTTATATTCCACTTAACTCACCAAGGTAGTTAAAGTACTGAGCCATTGGCTTCCAAGAAAGAATGTGTTGCAACTTCTTATCTTCGGAAATTTCTTTTCCATCACCTCCCTTAGGCCAGCAGCTTTTCAAAAAGAGAGAGAAAAGTCTGCCCACACCAGAAGCTTGTTTGTGAGTTAAACTGGACAACTCCAGGCGTAAACTTAATGATGTCATGGGTTCCTCCGCTATTCCTACCTAAAATAAAGTTAATTCAAAATGTTTCATCATTCACCTAGTGTAATTAAGTTAAGGAAAACTACGCAATAGCAGTCTCCACTAAAATATGAAACACAAAAAATCTAGTGTAGAATTCATAATATCGTATTCCCATGATGGTACATTGAAAATAACATAGAGTTTTAGCCATTTTTAGTTATAATAGTTATATACATCCAACACTCACGTTATTCCTCGGGAGTATAGTGGCTTACCTTCAAGAGATGGTCGATGGCCTCAAAAGCGGCAGACTCGAAACACTCGCTAATGTCTTGATGGTAGGCGCTCAGATCCAGTTTACAGAACAGTTCAATTAAATCTTTGTGGCCAACCTGGTTATGACATGAACTTAAGATTGTCAGGTAAATGTTTGAATTATCCTCAAATGATGAAAAATTATCACAATACCAAGACTTAATTCCAATTGTCATACAACATGCGAACAGGTACTCAGTCGTCAGTTCAACAACCACAACTTTCTTCAAACCTCATCTAGATTATATGTGCCAGCGCCTAACAGGTTATTTCTATGATACTAACAATCAAAGGAAAACCTACCTGGTTTACTCGACTCTTAAGGGACTCCCTTATACCGTGTTCCCAAAATTGGTGTAACTCGAAGTCTTCAAGGTTTACAGACAGTAAGTGCGACCAAGCCTGTTCAAGAAACCAAACATTGTGAGTGGCCGTGTTGTACTAAAATGTCAGTACACTTGTATGTACAAAATGTACATTAAAATGTACACTTGGCTTATTATTAGACCTTACTTCCGTACTTCCGTCCGTCCGCACGTCAGTCAGTTGGTCGGTCGGTCAGTCAGTCAGTCAGTCAGTCAGTCAGTCAGTCAGTCAGTCAGTCAGTCAGTCATTTCATCCGTCCATCCATCTGTCCGTCTGTTAGTCCGTCAGTTACATGTTGTCGGTCAGTAAATCAATCTGTCCGTCAGTCCGTCCATCCATCTGTCAGTCAGTCAGACAGATTGTCAATCAGTGAGTCAGTCAGACAGTCGGACAGTCAGTCAGACAGTCAGTGAGTCAAAAATGACAGCCGTAGCACAGTGTTACCTGAAGTTCCTCATCACGCCGTTTCTCTGATATATGGAGCAAGTTCCAACGGAAATGTGTCTCCAAAGAATCATGCAGAGATCTCAACGCCTCTTGAAAGATTTCTTTGCTTGCTTTTACTTTACTTGATGTTTCATTGGTGGGAAAACTGTTCTTTACCAAAAAGAGGCTTTGATCCAGTAGTTTGAAGATACCAGACACAACCTGGAATCTCTTCCGGCTGAGTAATTCTTCTACTGTAAGTAAATGACGCAGAAGATGCAACGCTGCTTTGGCTAGAGATGCCATGGTCTCGTACTGGGAGTTAGAGTGTTCCATGCTAGAGACAAGAAAAAAATAAAATTGTAAGCATTATCGCACTTGGCAAGTTTTCTTCCCCTCATAAGCGTATTTCTGCGTCATGAAACATGTCAAGTGAGTCGTCTCAAGTCAGAGATAACTATACATCATCACTGATATGACTTAAGATCTTTACCAATTAGCTAATTATGTTGTTCTACATCACTGGAGAAATATCAAACAGTAAGCGTATAAGGCGTATATAATATATATCCCTTTAGAGTTCTCACTTTATTTCCACTGAGCCTCACCTATCAAAACCTGCGATGCCATCGTTCATTTCTTGTATACACTCTTCAAGAGACTTCCACTAAACATGAAAGAAAGAAATTTAAGATTGACTCATGGTTAGGGAGCGTCTAGTGAGTTATTGATAAACGCGATAGCCTACAGCAAGAGAGGAGCGCCAGAGTTGAAAGAGGCTACCAGAGTTAAAAGCACGAAACAAGCAAATATCAGCCTCTCCCCCATACTAGGCCCCTTCTATATTATGCTCCTTCAAAAATTTGTGAAACTCTTTAAACAAGTCCTCCAGAGTTAAAGCGTTAAAAGCAGCTTACTGAGTTTTTTTAAGCCCAACAGTGAAATTTGACTTTATGTAAAGGCAGTTTCCCTGTCAAAAATTCTTTTTGAAACGGTTGTCTCTGGAATTTCGTCCCCTTTGACAGCTTTTTCGTTGCCTTTCAAACGAAAAATGCTTTACAAGAAAATTACAAAAAATTTGACCTTACAAAAGTTATAACAGGACAGCGTTTACTTTCGCTTGGCTTTCCTTTCCTTAGTATTGCCCATTGCGAGTAATGAATGATTAGGCGACTGTTAACTCACTTCTTCATCAAGGAAACCAGAGGTATGATCTCTTTCTTTTACAACTCGTGCCAGTGTCCAACAGACTTCGTGCAGAGCGAACACCTTTCGTTGTAGTACTTTAGCAATATCACCGATGGGAAGTGTCAGCAGAAACGTTCTCGCAAACAAAGGATCGATCTTAAACATTGGAGACAGCTGATGAAGAAGATGTACTGGGCTTCTGTTGGAATATTAATAAAACACTGTGACTGTGATGATCTCGTAATGGCATAAAGTATCTAGTTTGGTCCATCCAGTGAAGAGATTTCTTTCGTTAAAATTAATTTAATTCTTATTATTCTTAAATCAGTAAATATATTTTAGGAGATCTAGGGTGATTATTGTCAATTTCCAGACGTCTTCAAGTATAGTTCCTTTGATCCAATGATAGCTCGGCAGGTGAAATGGATTTGGCAAGTCTGGAAACGGACATATAATAATAATTCAACAGATATCAGATATATTGATAAACTGTTTTCACCTGATGACCTGACGTCACGACAGCCATACTGGTGTCCCAAAACAATTAAAACGCAGCAATGCTGATATCTCAAACTAATCCTGTGGGAGTTGAGGTCTATTCTTATCTAGTACGTACCCAGCCAGCTGTATTCTATTGGAAATCCGCGAATCTATGGGCGATAGTTAACTTGGCTACGCCCCGTTGGCTATTCGCCCTTAGAAATCTTGGGCTTGTAGTCTCACTGTTAAGTAAACACTTTACTTTGTTCCATTAAATTTACATGGATGCTGACCAAGTGAGTGAAAATGCTCTTTATATTGAAACATTAATGAATCGTTCAACGAGAGATCACGCTTTTAGGAGGTGTTTATTTCGGTCTTCATTTTACGAATAATTAATAAGATTTTGTAAGTTTTGGAAAGTTTAGAATTGAAAGTCTCTAAGTTTTTAGGCCCACGATTAGGAAGTGAACTCGATCCTATATATTATGTTTCCCAAGTCCCTTGATCGGTTATGTGTACGCATGAAGTAGATGATTTTGTCCTTATTACCTTTCTGAGAACCAGTCCACATTACTTTTGTCAGTTCTTTTCATTCATTTTCAGGCCCGCTATTTGCATTGTAATACGTTGTTATAATAAACAGACATTGCAATACGTTAAATAACTGAGTAGCATAATTTGCAAATTTCGTTCGCCTCGCCCTTTTTGACTTTGGCAACGTGACATCCTGTAGAGTTCTAAATCATAACTGTGTTTTATTGCCAAAGTTGTGTACCTATAATTTACCACTCCACTTGCAATATCGATCGTTGTAGAGGATCGAGAGCCACTTCCTTGTCCTCGGCCCAAATATTAAACTGAGGCTTTTAAGAATTACTGGATAAAACTCAATTCTTAACCAACAAAAATTCATCTAAAGTCTCTACAAAGAAGAATGTCAATATACATTTTTTTTAATATTAGCAAAACCCATAAGGCCATTTCAGAAATATAAGATAGATACTTCATGAAATCTGGCCTATAACACGGGTACCTGGAAAAAGCAGCTTGCTGCCGAACACTCTGGAAATCCAAGCCTTGTGTTCCCCACCACGAGGTATCTTTTACTGAACTCGGTTCTGAAGTCAGTGTCTCAAAGGAGAATGGCTGAACAGAGTCGGACAGAAAATGAAGCAGGGGCATCGCAAACAGCCAGTGAAAGATACCACGGCGATATTCGATAACGTACATGCAAAGCCGCAACAAGCTGTCGGCCAACGTGCTAGGATATAAAATGCATCAACATTGAAATTAGGTGTGGTATATTGAAAGAACAACCTCCTTTAATTGAGTAAAAAACTTGTAAGTCAAACATCGTAATTATAAACACGATTCGCTTTCAGGAAAAAGAGGAAACAAACAGCGGTTACAACCATAACAAACAGGTTTCGCAAGTTCTAAAGATGTATGATGTAGCATACGGAACATCACGTTTAATATACCATGTGAAGCCTGTTTGTTACGTTTTCAACCGCTGTTTGTTTTCTCTTTCTCCTGAAATTGAAATGGCCGAAAAACAAGAATTTTTATGACGATTCGCTTTTCATTTGCGAACATTCATGTAGTCAGTCCATCGATCAATCATTCGGTCAGTGAACAGATAAATGCATGATTAAGAAAAATGCCACATAGTCAGTGGCACGATATGGCAACTCTGATAAAAAGGTCCGGAGTAGTCTCATCAGGCTTCACATTCATGGCCCTCTGCACACCGGCTGGACGTCGTACCATTGAGTACTGAACAGGCGACTCATTTCCTCTGCGGCATGCGCTTCGTGCACGCTATATATATTAACTGAAAAGAGATATACAGCTTGCATTCTTAGTAAGAATGAGAAAATTCAATATCTTACCGTTTTTGCTGATCTTTAGGAAAGTGAGAAAGTAGAGCATCGTACTCAATGCATTTGCACCTTCCTGACTCGCCATTTATAAGAAGACACTCCAGTAGCTTCTTTAGCTCATCGTCTCCATGAAATGTTAGTTGGTGAAGAATGGCAAGGGATGCAATCATTACGGAAGTAATCAATCTTCTAGCGTGGGATTCCTCGTCATTAATATGAACTCGAAGTATTTGAATATTCCGGTTTAGTTGCGGAAGAAAGTATTCCTGTAGTACCTTTTAGAGCAACGACAAAAACAACAATAACAAACAATGCATTACTCAAAACGTACAACTATTTTTAGGTTCTCTCTCTTATTTTAGCACCTACTCAAGTACAGTCTTCTCAAGGGTTTGTATGCAAAAACGTCTTAAAGGTGACGAGCATGACAAATGCAGTTGTGTGATAACTGAATTGGGTCTGGGTACAACAAGAGTATACAAAAGAAAACTGACAACGAATGCTTCTTGCATTTATCTGTTAAGTGCCGCTCAGGTTCGACGTTTAGCCCTCTAGCGATACACGAACTGTTAGTTGTCAGTTTCAACCTGATTCCGCTGTCCGGTATTCCATTAAATGGTAACAATCGCAGCCTAAACTTAGGGCCTGTTCACATGGACGCGGGAGACCACGGGAAGGTGAGGTACCTCACCTACCCGTGGTAAAGAAATAGCTGTCTTTACATGCAACCCCGGGGACGCGTGGTGAGGTCCAAAATGCAATCGCACGGTCGCTAAGCACGCACACAAACAAAGAACCAACGTTTGTTTTCTTCGTTTGTTCTGATGGAGCTGCTTTTCGCTTCAATGTTGTCGTTCCAAGCAAAACTTCAGTTTGATTCCGCTGATTAGCCTTACTATCCGATTCCACGCTTAAATTGTCGCCAGCACTGTCAATTTCATCGGCGTTTTTGGCGGTTTTGGAGTTGAAATCGTCGAAATAACTCGCCACGCTCGTAGCGGTTGGCAGCCATGTTGTTCTGCCGTGTGATTTGGCGGGCTTTGGTGCAGTGATTTGATTACCCCAGTTAGGTGGGTTACCCCACTCCGCAGCTTCCACAAGGAGAAAACTCACCCTACCGAAGTGGGTTACCCCGCACCGGCTGACCGGGTGACCCGCTATGTTGGCGTACCCCACCTGATGTGTGAACCCGATCAAGAAAAAAAGAGAGATTGTATGGATAGATTGGTTACCCCACCAAGGCGGAGGACCTCACCTGCCCAAAGTCCCCCACTTCCATGTGAACAGGCCCTTAGAGTGAAATTATAAGTCAATGATAAGATATTTAACAGACGCAAGAAGACCATCTCTAATTTTCAGTTATGTAGAGCAACTAGTGAGACAATCTCAGATAGTGCAGAGTATAATTTACGGCTCTGATACAGTAGTCACACAGGTCCTCACCCATGCCGTTCTCTGCCTTGGTAGTCAACTAGGCCTTTTCCCCTTTGCAGAATATGAGCGAACAAAAACTTGATAAGACATAATCTTAGCAGTGTGTATGTTTCATGTCTGTGTTTTCTTTCAAGGCCCAAAGATAACTTAAAATTACCGTTTGTTTAGACGGTTTTAAATTTATCGTGGTATTTTATGTTGAGTTTCGTTCATTTTGTAGCAAATATGACAATTTTACTTT